GTCCCCTGGCACGTCCCTCGGCACGTCCATTGGCACGTTCCGTAGCGCGTCCCCTTGCACGTCCCGCGGTGCGTCCCCATGGCACGTCCCCTGGCACGTCGCCTGGCGCGTCCCTTGGGACGTTCCGCGGCGCGTCCTCTTGGCATGTTCCCTCTGTCGATTAGTTCTGGGGCAGCTACCATCTGCTCAGGCAGCTCGAGCTTACGATCCAGATCAGTTCGGTGAGGACTCGGATGCCAGGGAGGACTCGATCCACAACGCTATATAGAGCACAATCGTGGCATGGCACATCGCAGTTCAGCACGGCGTAGCACAGCACAGCCTTCGGCACAGTACATCATCATCGATACATTCAGCATTGCATGCGCCCGTCGCCCAATCAGGTGTCTTTGAAATGTTGCAATGCCTTACATTTCTATATTCCTTTCCGGGTTCGTGGGTCGATCATGTTCAACATGATTGTCCCACGCAGGAACCACATGTCCACGCGTTCAGGCCACACGTGGGAATATCGAGCATGTGGTCGTCTAACTCTATGCCTGACCAAGAAGTGATGGTGTCTCGGGCGAGGGCTTCGGAAGTGAATCAGGTCTTGAGCTCGAGCTGGTCGAGCGCCCCGCGCGCTTCGCCTGCCACTAGCCAGTGCCATGCTTTCAGGCAGGTCGGGCTGAAAGACCAAATCAGTTCGGTCAGGATTCTGACGCCACGGACGGCTAGATTCACAACGCAATAGCGCGCGGCACAGTTCATCGCGGCAGATCCCATGGCACGTCTCTTCCACTAGCACGTTCCGTAGCGCGTCCCCTGGCACGTCATTGTGCGGCGCCGCACAGCGCAGAGTAGCATAACACAGTCCTCGGCACAATGTCATCACTATTTATATTGTCAGCATTGCCACTGCCCATCGCCCAGTTGAGGTGCTTGGACACATTCCCATGTCTTGCAGTTCTAAATTCCTTTCCGTGTTCGTGGGTCGATCATGTGCTAAGAATAGGAGGGGGAGTGGAGAGGAGAAGAGCTTGAGGGGGGCAGCGTCTCATTGGGAGGGGACCAGGCGGGCCTGGGGCGAAGCAAAATCATTCAAGAGCGTTCGGACCGATTTCAGAAGGTTCGGGAACGCTCTAGAAGGGGCCGCGGCGCTCGATACAACCTCCAGTCGGAGGTTGCCAAAAATGCTCCAGCCCTAGGTTCCCCAAGCTGTTCGCGCCATTCTGTTCGCGAGAGGTGCGTGAAGACCATCTGGAGATCCCTCGAGTTCCCGAGGAAACCGTGGGCCAGGGACACAGTGTTTTGGAAACATCCAGTCCGAGCCTGGTGGCTTCCAGACTGTACCAGTTGTTATTCCCAGGAAGGGCGCCAGCCCAGGGTTCTCGGAAAGTTGAGGATGTCCCCAGCGAAACGCAGGTGTTTGAAATTCCGATCGATCAACACATGGTAACATACACATGTTCGTTTGTTGCGGATGTCTCGAGTGAAACGTTTAGATGTCTCAAGCCAAACGCTTATTTTGTGTTATCGATCCTTCCTCTCCTGGGGACCAGAAGTCAGAGGATGTCTCAGGTGACATATTTGTTTTCACATGCCCAGGTCTTGAGGATGTCTCGAACGAGACGCTTGGTTTCACATGTCCAGGTTGCCCAGGCAGATGCCTAGTATGAGGATGTGTTGAGGGTCTCTCGAGCGGGACGCTTGCTTTCACGTGCCCAGCTCGCCCAGGCGGATGTCTAGCATGAGGAAGTCGCCAACGCGGATGTCTAGCATGAGGATGTGTCGAGAACGTCTCGAGCGAACCGCTTGCTTTCACGTGCCCAGGTCGTCCAGGCGGATGTCTAACATGAAGATGTGTTGAGGATATTTCGAGCGAGACGCTTGCTTCCACGTGTCCACGTCACCCAGGCGGATGTCTAGCATGAGGAAGTGTTGAGCATGGCTTGAGCGAAACGCTTGTTTTCACGTGTCCAGGTCGCCGAACTGGATGTCTAACTTGAAGGTGTTTTGAGGATGTCTCGAGCGAACAGTTTGTTTTCACTTGTCCAGGTTGCCCGGGCGGATGTCGAGCATGAGGAAGTGTTGAGCATGTCTTATGCGAAACGCTTATTGTCACGTGTCCAGGTCTCCCTGGCGGATGTCGAACATGATGATTTGGGCAGGATGTCTCGAGCGCGCCGCTTGGGTTCACGCGTCCAGGTTGTCCAGGCACATGTCTAGCATGAGGAGGTGTTGAGGATTTCTCTCTCTCTCTCTCTTCTTTTTTTTTCCCGGAAAGGGCAAAGGCCCAGGGTTCTCTTTTAGTATGTAAACATAGTCCCCCGTGCCCAACTTGAAGGAGGCCGGCGAAATTATTCCCTGATAAATATCGAGGTCGAAGGAGGCCGGCGAAATTATTTTTGAGGATGTCTCGAGCGAAACGCTTGTTTTTCAGAATTTGTTGAGGATGTCTCGAGCGAGACGCTCGTTTTGCAGAGTTGGGGATGTCTCGAGCGAAACGCTTGGTTTCAGAATTTGTTGAGGAAGTCTCGAGCGACACGCTGGTTTTGCAGAGCCGACCGCGACGCGGAAAAGCGCCCCGCGCGCAGGAATTTCGATGATGTCTCGACTAATTCGTTTGTTTTTGCACGATTTCCTGGAATTTTGGCAGGATGTCTCGAGCGAAATGCACGACCCCACCCTAGCACGACCATACCCCAGCACGACCACACCCCAGCACGACCAGACCCCAGCACGACCCCACCCCAGCACGACCCCACCCCAGCACGACCATACCCCAGCACGACCACACCCCAGCACGACCCGACCCCAGCACGACCCTACCCCAGCAAGACCACACCCCAGCACGACCACACCCCAGCACGACCTCACCACAGCACGACCACACCCCAGCACGACCACGCCCCAGCACGACCACGCCCCAGCACGACCACGCCCCAGCACGACCACGCCCCAGCACGACCACCCCCCCAGCACGACCACCCCCAGCACGACCACCCCCCAGCACGACCACACCCCAGCACGACCACACCCCAGCACGACCACACCCCAGCACGACCACACCCCAGTCGTCGCACCCCCGTGGAATGTTTCGTGGCGTGTCTGGTTGAGTGGTTGCCTGTTCGTGGGGTGTCTCGTGGAATGTTTCACGGGGTGTCTCGTGGAATGTTTCGTGAGGTGTCTCGTGGAATGTTTCGTGAGGTGTCTCGTGGGATGTTTCGCGGGGTGTCTCGTGGGATGTTTCGTGAGATGTCGCCCAGTTGGGTATCGTGAAAACGTGACCATGCTGCACATGTCTTTATCCCTTTCCGGGTTCGTGGGTCCATCATGTTTCTCTCTCTATCTCTCTCTCTATAGAGAGAGAGAGAGAGAGAGAGAGAGAGAGACGCTTGGTTCCACGTGTCCAGGTTTCCCAGGCGGATGTCGAACATGAGGATGTGTTGAGAACGTCTCGAGCGAGACGCCTGTTTTCATGTGTCCAGGTCGCTCAGGTAGATGTCTAACATGAGGATTTGTTGAGGATGTCTCGGGCGAAACGCTCGTCGCAGTAGAGTGCATCGCAGTCCAACCCCCCCCGTCCGTGGGGCGTCCCCAGGCGCGCTGGCGCGTCTACTGGCGCGTCCCTTGCGACGTTCTGGCGTGACGTGCCTTGGCACGTCCCCTAGCACGCCACTCGGCGTGGCACGTTCCCTGGCTAGTCCTCTGTCGCGTTTCCTGGCTCGTCCCCAGGCGTTTCCACTGCTTGTTCCGTGGCGCGCCCCTTGCAACGTCCTTTGGCAATACGTCCTCTGGCCGCCCCGTGGCCCCATGGCACGCGCCTTGGCACGTCCCGTGGCAGGCCCTGACACGTCCAGGGCACGTCCCCTGATACGTCCCCTGACGCCCCCTGGCGCATCCCCTATTGCGCCTCTGGCACGTCCTGTGTCGCGTCCGTGAGCATGTGCCCCGTGTCGTATCATTCCTTTTCGGAGCTGAGTCGGGTTCTGAGGTCGAGTTGATTGACCGTCCCGCACGTTTCCACTTCATCGAGCTCTGGGGCAGCTACTATGTGCTCAGGCAGCTCAAGCTTCAGATCCAGATCAGTTCGGTCTGGACTCGGATGCGAAGGAGGACTCGATCCACAACGCTATAGGACACAATAGCGGCATGGTACATCGTATTTCAGCACGGCGCAGCACCGCACAGCCCCTGGCACGGTACGGTACAGCCAGATCGATATTCTCAGCATTGAAATTGCCCGTCGCCCAATCAGGTGTCTTGGAAGCGCTACCATGCTTCAAATTTCTATATTTCTTTCCGGGATCGTGGGTCGATCATGTTGCACTTCCTAGAATTGGTTGTTGCTGGAATTGCCCCTGGCCCAAGGTGCCCCCAGGATTCCCAAGGAGGCCCCCGCGGCCTCCAGAGCACCGCTCACGAGGCCCGAGGGGTCCAAGGGCTCCAAGATGGAGCGAAAAGCTGGGAGCACCTTGGGCCAGGGGCGCCTTCAGCAACCCCCGACAGAAGGCCTCCCAGCAGTTGCTTCCCGATCTACTCGTCCGACGGTACGGAGGCCCCTCCTGGATAAGCCGGGCCGGCAGCGCTCCGAAGCCGCCTGGGCAAGTCCGAGGACCGCGAGCCCCAAAACTCTGGGCCCCTCCCCCCGGGCTGGCTTCTCACCCCGTGCCATCTTCTGACGGTCCCGGCGGCCCAACACTGCCGAAAAGCTGGCAGCCTTGAGACGGGGGTCCCATGCAAACGGGGCTCAGCCAGAGCGCCGGACCTTGCAGCATCCTGCAAAGCCAGGGCCGCATTGACCCGTGCTGGCGGGCGGGATCCGCGGAGTACCCTGCAGGATCTCACAGGATCCTGCAGGCCTGGCTGGACCGGGCTTGCGCTGGCCCGTGATTTGTTGCGCGACGCGAGCGCGACGGAGGGGGAGGCTGCTTCCTGGCCTGCTCGCCCGACTCGGCAGGGGCCCCTCCTCGAGCAGCCACGCCAGCACAGCGCCCCAAGCCCGCCCCGCCGGGCAGGTTCGAGGGCGGCGAGCAGCAGGACGTGCAGGAGCGCCGTGCGGCCAGCGCCGCCGCGCCGCGCCGGGCGGTGACCCAGGCGGAGGCGCCCGAGAGTCGGAGGCCCTCAGGCGAGACGCTGCAGCAATCGGGGATCAAACAATGGCATCAACAGAAGAACTCAGAGGTCCGCGCGGAGTTCTTGGATCGGCGTTGGACTCCCCCCCCTGCTTGGCGCGTGGAGCACTCCAGGAGCGGCGCCCGAGGCGCCGCCAGGAGGCTCCAGCGCCGATCCGAGAAATCCGCACGGACCTCAGAGTTTTTCCTGGAACGGGCTTGAGCCCAGGGTTCTCTTTTAGTTGGTTAATCCCCGGATCTGACGGCTGTAGGGCCGGCGAATTTCTTTTGCGATAAATAACGAGGTCGCGTAGGGCTGGCGAATTAAAATTTGAGGATGTCCTTTGCGAAACGTTTGTGTTTCAGAATGTGTTGAGGATGTCTCGAGCGAAACGCTTGTTTTGTGTTATAGACTGCCCTCTCCTGGGGACCTGAATTCAGAGGATCTCTCAAGTGAAATGCTTGTTTTCACGTGCCCAGGTCTTGAGGATGTCTCGAGCGACACGCTTGGTTTCACGCCTCCAGGTTGCCCAGACAGATGTCTAGCATGAGGATTTGTCAAGGATGTCTCGAACCAGAATGTCTCGAACCAGAGGCTTGTTTTCACGTGTCCAGGTCGCCCAGGCGGATGTCTAGCATGAGGATGTGTCGAAAAAGTCTCGATCGAGACGCTTGATTGCACGTGTCCAGGTTGCCCAGGCGGACGTCTAGCATGAGGATGTGCTGAGAACGTCTTGAGCGAAACGCGTGTTTTCACGTGTCCAGGTCGCCCAGGCACATCACAGCCCTCGGCACGGTACATCAATATCGATACCCTTAGCATTGCAGCCTGGCATGTTGCCTAGCACGTTCCGCGGAGCGTCCCGTGGCGAGTCCGCGCGGCACGTCGCGCGGTGCACGTCCATTGGCACGTTCCGTAGCGCGTGCCCTTGGCACGTCCCGCGGTGCGTGCCCATGGCACGTCCCCTGGCACGTCGCCTGTCGCGTCCCTTGGGACGTTCCGCGGCGCGTCCTCCTGGCATGTCCCCTCTGTCGATTAGTTCTGGGGCAGCTACTGTGTGCTGAGACAGCTCGAGCTTAAGATCCAGATCAGTTCGGTCAGGACTCGGATGCAAAGGAGGACTCGATCCACAACGCTATCTAGAGCATAATCGTGGCATGGCACATCGTAATTCAGCACGGCCCAGCACAACACAGCCGTCGGCACGGTACATCAAGATCGATACACTCAACATTGCATCTTGGCACGTTCTTTGGCGCGTTCCGTGGCGAGTCCACCTGGCACGTCGCGCGGCGCGTCCCCTGGCACGTCCCGCGGCACGTCCATTGGCACGTTCCGTAGCGCGTGCCCTTGGCACGTCCCGCGGTGCGTGCCCATGGCACGTCCCCTGGCACGTCGCCTGTCGCGTCCCGTGGGGTCTTCCGCGGCGCGTCCTCCTGGCATGTCCCCTCTGTCGATTAGTTCTGGGGCAGCTACTGTGTGCTGAGGCAGCTCGAGCTTAAGATCCAGATCAGTTCGGTCGGGACTCGGATGCCAGGGAGGACTCAGTCCACAACGCTATATAGAGCACAATCGCGGCATGGTACATCGCAGTTCAGCACGGCGCAGCACAGCACAGCCCTCGGCACAGTACAGCAAGACCGATACATTCAGCATCGTATTTGCCCGTCGCCCAATCAGGTGTCTTTGAAACGTTGCCATGCAATACATTTCTATATCCTTTCCGGGTTCGTGGGTCGATCATGTTCCTGGAAAGGGCTTGAGCCCAGGGTTCTCTTTTAGTTGATGAATTCCCGGTTTCGACGGTTGTAGGGCCGGCGAAATTATATGCGATAGAGAACAAGGTTGCGTAGGGCCGGCGAATTTATGTTTGAGGATGTCTCGAGCGAAACGCTTGTTTTCATGTTGAGGATGTCTCTAGTGAAACGCTTGTTTTGTGTTAAATATTGTCATCTCCTAGGGACAAGACTTCAGAAGATGTCCCAAGTGAAATGCTTGTGTTCACGTGCCCAGGTCTTGAGGATGTCTCGGCGTGCTTGCACATGCGGCGCACGGAATTCGTGCCTTCTGTCGGAGCGCTAAGGCCGTTCACGCCCACGCAATCCCGAGCAAACATCGCCCCGAATAGGTTGGTGTATAGATTCACGCCTCCCAGATGATCCAGATCTCGGTGATAGGTGTAATACTCGGGCTTCCTAGGTGGCCGAAAGGCTACCAACACCACCACCACGGCCAAAGTATAGGATCATCCCCCACCCTGCGGAGTCAACCCCTTGTGTTGGTGTTCATTTCTAAGCCAGGTATCAGGGGCAACGTTCGGGAGGGGCTGGCTCAGGTAGAGACAGTTATTTGGACGTTTTCGTTGGTTTTCTCTGGTTTCCAAACCTTGGGGTGCTCTCCAGCAGCTGCACCTTTTCGGGGGTGCCCTGATCGTCCAAAACGGCCGCTGGAGACTTGAGGCATGACCCAGAAGCCGGACGACGAGGATCACTGGGGAGTTGGCTCGGGTGGGGGGGCTGTATCGACCCGAATCGCCCACTCATTGCCGATAGGGGCCTGATATCCCACCCCGCCCACGAGCATGCGGATTCGCTGTCGGGGGCTTATCGCCGAATGATCGGCCTCTCGACTCGTGAAAGAATTACGACGGGAGATTTTCTGAAAATGTCCGCCTTTTGGGACCATTGCCAGGTCCCAGGGCCGTAAGAACACAGCTCTCGCCCGCCCCATCCGCGGGGACCCGCCCCAGTCCTGGGATCCGTCCCATTTTCGCCACGCGTCCTGCAACGTCGACGCCAAAGCGCCCATGCTCAGATCAACAGCGTTGGTTTAGTATTGTGTCCAACCGGTAGAATGGGGCCCCCTCGGATTGGGCCCCACATCAGTTGGTTAGGTGGCAGAGTGGGATTGTATTTTGTTGAGGGGTAAGGCTAATGTGGGTTTCTTGTTTCCCACCAGGACAACACACTCGACCAGGCAACACCTTCCACCAAGGCTGCCCCAACACCAGGCAACACCTCCGACACCAAATGCACGTGTCTGTTCTTTCTTGCGTCGTTGTTTATTCAACGCAGGTTTTGACAACGCCCATCATGCAGCATCATCTATGAATAATTGCAAAGCCGCGTTGCTCAGGGCAGTTTGGACCCCTGTCTGTCTGTTTACGTTGCATGTTGTTTCTGTGTGCCGAATTGGTTTTCGGCACTTGGCCACATAATGCATTTTGGCATATCAGCTTGGCGTGGACACCTAGTACGCTAGACGTGTGATCAGCGGTGGCCTCGGGGACGTTTGATAGCAGTGTGTCATGCAGGCACAGTCATAGTTGAGAGCTCGTGCGGTTACCCTCAACCATGTCTTCAAACTTGTGTTATTATCGAAGACGCCTACGGTGAATCACCGCCGCCCCCTGAGCTCTGCCGAGCTATCGGACCATGTGCTCCCCCAGCCGCTGTGGAAACCCTTCGGGGAACATTTGGGGGAGGATGGCGGGGAAGATCAGGAGGAGGATGAGGAGAACGAGGAGGAGGAGCAGGAGGAAGAGGAGGAGGAGGAGGGGACAACTTGAGAGACTCTGGGGGCACTTTTGGGGCACTCTTGGAGCCTCTTGGGAGCTTCCTAGGAGCCTCTTGGATGCATTTTTAGGGCCTCCTTGGGCCTCTTCGGGGCCTTCGGGGGCTTCTCGGGGGCCTCTAGGTCGTTTTAAAACATTCCTGGCCCGTCTGACGCCGTCGGAAGCCGTCTTGGGGGCCTCTCTGGGCCGACTTGAAACTTCTTGGGATGGTCTAGGGCCGTCTTGGAGGCCATCTTGGGCTTCTTGGAGGCCTCGTGGGCCGTCTTGGAGCCCTCTTAGGGGCCGTCTTGGGGGCCTCTGGGGCCGTTCTTGGGCCATCCTGGAGGCATCTTGGACGATCTTGGGGCGATCTTTGGGAGCTCTTGGGCCGTCTCGTGCCGTCGGAAGACCGACAAAAGCAAATGCCAAAATCCTTGAACAACCTAAGGACCATCAATGGCTTGTGCCTCTTCGGGCCTTTCTAGATGCCCTTTGGGAGGCCTCTGGGACCGTCTTGAATACCTACTCGGGACATCTCGGGTCGTCTTCGAGCCACCTTTGACTGTCTTGGTTAGCTCCTGGCCCGCCTGACGCCGTCGGAAGTTGTCTTGGGAGCCTCTCTGGGCCGACTTGAGGCCCTCTTGTTGTGGTCCAGGGCCGTCCTGGAGGCCATCTTGGGTGTCTTGGAGGCCTCTTGGGCCGTCTTGGAGCCCTCTTGGGGCCGTCTTGGGGGCTTCTGGGGCCGTTCTTGGGCCATCCTGGAGGCCTCTTGGACGATCTTGGGGTGATCTTTGGGGGCTCTTGGGCCGTCTCGTACCATCGGAAGGCCGACAGTACGCAAATGCCAAAATCCTTACACCTACAGCCTAAGGGACATCAATGATTTGGGCCTTTGCGGGCCTTTCTGGAGGCCCTCGTGGAGGCCTCTTGGGCCGCCTGGGCGGCCTCTTCGGGGCCTCTTGGGCCGTCTGCCGTCATCTTGAGGCCGCCTTGGTGGCTTCTTGGGCGAGCTTGGAGGCATCTTTGACTCCCTTGGGCCGTCTTCGAGGCCATCTTGGACCATCTTGGGCGAACTTGGCGGTCACCTTGGCCGTCTTGGAGGCCGTCTTGGACCATCTTAGAGCCATCTGGACCGGGACAAATGTGGCAACCACCTCTTCCGCGTGGCTGGCGAGCTGGCCTGGAGACCCAGGGCTTTCTGTTGTTCCAATTGAATAGAGCACCGCGGTCGCGTCCTTGTTCGCCTCCCGCCTCCCGCCTCCCGCCCTCCCTCCTTCTTGTCTCCTCTTGCCTTGCCTGGGGGCTGCGATCTGCGAAATTGTCGCCACTTTCGGGGGCTGCTGGTGGGTCCAGCGGAGTGGGGCACCGCGCGGATCTGAGC